TTTATATATACACTTATATATATATATTTATGTACTTATATAAATGTATATATATATACATATGAATATGTATATACATATCAATGTGTATATATTTATATAATTATGTCTCTATCAGTATATATAAATATATATATATATGTTTATTTAGAAATACACATACATATTTACTTATAGATAGATAGACGTATATATATATATGACATATTTGTGGTTGTTTTTATACACAGCTTTGATCCCAAACTATACTACAAATAATCACGTAATTATACCTACATGTTGTATCCCTAAACCCTAAACCAAACCCTGCATATACATACATGCATACATACATACCTACCTACATAGATAGATAGATAGATAGATATATATATATACATATGTATATAGATTGATTGATTTGATTGAAGAAAACCATAGAAAACTTCCATCTCCAGACATGCTGTCGCGTCGCATGTATGAGCATCGCGTTATGGAGCAGCTTGCTTGCTGGGACTCGACCCTTTATTCGGTATCTGTTGGGATCTCAAGAGAGTTCTCCAGACGTGTGATCGCCTCGCATGTATGAGCATTGCGTTATGGAGCACCTTGCTGGGACTCTCCCTCTGAGTCGGTATCCCAAGAGTAGTTGTGATTTAATATGCGCTGGTATCTGTTGGGATCCCAAGAGAGTTCTCCAGACGTGTGATCGCCTCGCATGTATGAGCATTGCGTTATGGAGCACCTTAATGGGACTCTTCGTCTGAGTCGGTATCCCAAGAGTAGTTGTGATTTAATATGCATTGGTATCTGTTGTCTGCTGACAGTCGACCTTTTCTTCGACATCTGACCCTCCCTCCCCTGTCTCCAGACACGTACGAGTCACTTGTATTAGCATACCTCGGAATTTTCTTGTTTGATACGGACCACCTGGATATTGCGGACAGATCGGCAATCGACATCTGACCCTCCCTCCCCTGTCTCCAGACACGTACGAGTCTCACTTGTATTAGCATACCTCGGAATTTATTTTTTTTTTTGATGCAAATTTTATTATTTTTTTGATGCGTGTACCACGTTGAAATCTTGGACAGTTCCATAGAAGTCCAGGGGAATATTTTTTTGATGCAAATCAATTTTTATTTTGATACTTATGGGGATATTTTTTTTTTGATGCGTTTTTAATTTTTTTTGATCCTTCACCCGAAAAGAACTTGCTCCCAAGCAATCTGAAAGATCGCACCACTGGATCATACTTCAATTCTCCTGGGTGTTCGAGAAGAACTTTCTTCTTGTCATCTGGGGGCAGCAGTGACTGGCGAAGCAAGACATACGCCTGTACTTCTTCCAGTTTGGTACCTCGGCTCAACAGTTCGATGAAATTGGACTCCATGCGGGACAAGTAGGAGTCATGTGATTCATCGGCACGTTGCACAGTCCCGTAAAGGGCTTTTTCAAAGTACTCATACCTTTCTTCTAACTCTGTAGCTCCCCAAGACCCACCGATAGCATCCACCAGCAAGGCTACTCCAGACTTGTCGTTGACTCTCAACTTGTCTGGATCCAACCTGGCTACCTTGCGAAAGGCTGTCCCTTCGACAAGAAGGGCAGCCCTTGGGGCTAGCAAGCTCAGATGCTCAGCAGGCCACATTGCGGCAAGAAACTTCATCTTCTGAACATACTCTTGGACATTCGTTGTCCCTGGAACAAACTTTGGAATGCTTGCCCAGGGCAACTGAGGTGACACTGACGGATTGGGCTCATCCGGCACTGGCGTCTCAACGGCAGCTGTCATTTGCGAAGGTGAAGCCATTACGGCTCCCTGGATCCCGCTCTTTCAGCTACAACGCAGGCACAGATCAGCTTCCAAAGAAGGCAAACAAAAAGGCAGTAGCTGGAGCACGTAGCTCCGCTACCAGTGTGAAAGAGCCTGGAAGCTCCTTTCAACACTGGCAGCGGCAATTCCCTGAATTGCTAAGGGGGTGTTCCCAACACCTGAGATATCAAAGGATGTCAAATGAAAGAGGATCCCTGTCCAATAGGTCAAAATCCCGCAGCTCCCAGTGTTTTTCCCAGCAACACGGCTCGCGATATGGCACCAGTCAGACAACCCTGTCGTCTGCCTCATCCACAACCCTCCGCTGGCACTTGGGACGCGAATGACAGCGGCACATGGAGTTATGACAGTGAACCCTGGCAAATACGTGTCACATCAAGCTCAGCTGTAACTGGTCAAATCACAAGATAGAGATATAGATAGATAGATAGATAGATAGATAGATACATAGATACATAGATACATAGATACATAGATATAGATAGATAGATAGATATAGATAGATAGATAGATAGATATAGATAGATAGATATAGATAGATAGATAGATAGATAGAGATAGATAGATAGATAGATAGATAGATAGACAGATTGATAGATTGATAGATAGATAGATAGATAGATCGATGGATAGATAGATAGATAGATAGGTAGATAGATAGATAGATAGTCAGAAAAAGAGATAGAAAGAGAGGAGACCTCAAGCACCTTTCGGTCCATCAGTGGATTCGCTCTGCCATCCCGGATTCACAACAACCAAGCTCTCCTATAGGTTTCCGATTTGTGAAACTTCCGCCACCGCCTTGTGCGATACTACTGGTAAATCCTCCCAATTAGATCCGATTAGGACCGTATACCCAGTAATAAACCCCAAGTGTGATAATTGCGGATGGTCTATTATTAGGTGTACAACGTTCTTCACCGATGGCTCCAACTCAGGGCTACGATACACCCATGATACACCCATCGGGGCACCGGAGATTTTGGTGCTTCTTTAGGGATCGACCAAGACCATGTTAGATATCTGATAATGATATTTGTAGATTCTGTTTTCCAGACTCACAGATCTAAATTCTCCATTCCTTCGCACATTTCAGAGTTGCTCGGACGGAGAACCACCTCAAGGTCTGAAGCAAACCTACGAGGACCACACAGATGAAGATAGGTCAGTATACATTGTATATAGTAATCAACAACAAATGCCTGCGGCCAGAGTGCCTGGTGGAAGCTGCCGCGAGGGATTTTGAAGGATTTAACGATTCGAAGGCTTGGAGAAGGCTATGTACACGCAAAGGGCAGGCTGCAATGCTGGAACAGCAAAGGCTGACGGCCAGAGGGCTTGGTGGCAGCTGCCGCGAGGGAATTGGAGGGTTTTAAGCGTTTTAAGCGTTGTAAGGGTTTGAAGCCTGGCAAACGGCAGGCTTGAGTGCCCTAACAAGAGAGGGCTATGTGCAGGCAAATGCAGAAAAGGCTGACGGCCAGAGGGCTTGGTGGAAGCTGCCACGAGGGAATTGGAGGGTTTTAAGCGTTTTAAGCGTTGTAAGGGTTTGAAGCCTGGCAAACGGCAGGCTTGAATTCCCTAACAAGAGAGGGCTATGTGCAGGCAAATGCAGCAAAGGCTGACGGCCAGAGGGCTTGGTGGAAGCTGCCGCGAGGGAATTGGAGGGTTTTAAGCGTTTTAAGCGTTGTAAGGTTTGAAGCCTGGCAAACGGCAGGCTTGAGTGCCCTAACAAGAGAGGGCTATGTTCCGGCAAATGCAGCAAAGGCTGACGGCCAGAGGGCTTGGTGGAAGCTGCCGCGAGGGAATTGGAGGGTTTTAAGCGGTTTAAGGGTTTTAAGGGAACAAGAAAGGGCTATGTGCAGGCAAATGCAGCCAAGGCTGACGGCCAGAGGGCTTGGTGGAAGCTGCCACGAGGGAATTGGAGGGTTTTAAGCGTTGTAAGCGTTTTAAGGGTTTGAAGCCTGGCAAACGGCAGGATTGAATGCCTTAACAAGAGAGGGCTATGTGCAGGCAAATGCAGCAAAGGCTGACGGCCAGAGGGCTTCCACTTGGGAATTGGAGGGTTTTAAGCGTTTTAAGCGTTTTAAGGGTTTGAAGCCTGGCAAACGGCAGGCTTGAATGCCTTAACAAGAGAGGGCTATGTGCAGGCAAAGGGCAGGCTGCAATGCTGGAACGCTGAGGGCCAGGAGCTTGGTGGAAGCTGCCGCGAGGGATGTGCAGCCAAAGGCAGGCTGCAACCCTGGAACAGCAAAGGCTGACGGCCAAAGGGCTTGGTGGCAGCTGAGGCTTGAATGCCCCAACAACAGAGCGCTATGTGCAGGCAAAGGGCATGCCGCAATGCTGGAAAAGCAAAAGCTGACGGCCAGAGGGCTTGGTGGAAGCTGGCGCGAGGGAATTGGAGGGTTTTAAGCGTTTTAAGGGTTTTAAGGGTTTGAAGCCTGGCAAACGGCAGGCTTGAATGCCTTAACAAGAGAGGGCTATGTGCAGGCACATGCAGCAAAGGCTGACGGCCAGAGGGCTTAGTGGAAGCTGCCGCGAGGGAATTGGAGGGTTTTAAGCGTTTTAAGGGTTTGAAGCCTGGCAAACGGCAGGCTTGAATGCCCTAACAAGAGAGGGCTATGTGCAGGCAAAGGGCAGGCTGCAATGCTGGAACGCTGAGGGCCAGGAGCTTGGTGGAAGCTGCCGCGAGGGATGTGCAGCCAAAGGGCAGGCTGCAACCCTGGAACAGCAAAGGCTGACGGCCAAACGGCTTGGTGGCAGCTGAGGCTTGAATGCCCCAACAACAGAGCGCTATGTGCAGGCAAAGGGCAGGCTGCAATGCTGGAACAGCAAAGCTGACGGCCAGAGGGCTTGGTGGAAGCTGCCGCGAGGGAATTGGAGGGTTTTAAGCGCTTTAAGGGTTTTAAGCGTTTGAAGCCTGGCAAACGGCAGGCTTGAATGCCTTAACAAGAGAGGGCTATGTGCAGGCAAATGAGGCCTTTGAAGCTTGGCAAACCGCTTAAACACAGACAAGCACTTGTTGCAAGAACGACCTTGGACAATGTGAAGGCCATGGCCGTGACAAAGCAGGTTCCACACCTCCGGTGGTCCCAGGCGCCGCCCCTGCCTTGGCGAAGGCCGGGTCGGCGGATACTTGATTGGCAGAAGCTCAATGATGAAAGTCGGTGTCAAGCTGTGGCTAAAGGCAAGCAAGCTCTTCCGCAGCTCAGCCGCATTTGGCAGCGTCGGATCCAGTCACTGCATTCAGAGGGGTGATAGATGGTGACAGAGTGATAGATCATAGATGCCCTCAATTTGTCTAAATGATACCATATGATACCATACGAATCCATATGATAATGTATGATACCTCTTCCATCCTCTTCCAGGTTAGCACGAATTCCTGAAGAAGCTGAATCTACGCTTTTCCGGTCTCGCTGCTCAATCCTGGGGCTCATGACAGTGGAGCTTTTGTTCCTTGCCTGCAGGGGTGACGACAATCATTGGAGGTTGCCAGCTGCCAGGGTGAGCCAGACTCCAATCATCTCCAATCTTACAATGCAATTTGTTGCAAAGACTTGGCTTGCAGTCTCGGGTGTCCCAAAGAATCATTGCTACATTGGAGGCGTTTATCGGTGGCTCCTTGGAAGCATTATTCCGAATTATTCCCTTCATATAGATTTAGATTTTAGATCGATGTACGGAGTTTGCCATGACAAGGTGGAAAACGTGTGCCTCTTTGTGACTTTTGACCTTGAATGTGTGCAACTTGCACCATCTTGTACCACAGCAGTGTCAAGTGATGTCAAGTGAATGTAGCCTTGTACACTTGTAGCATCTTGTAGCCTTCGCATGGGGAGTGATGGAATGTGATGGAGAGTCTGAGGTGCGTGTTTTCCCATCGCCTGGTGGCTTGGAATACACGGCTCAGATGCTTTGCTGCGCTGCCAACGGCATCGTTACGCTTGGCTCTCTGCCTGTCTTTGCGCACGCGGGTCTAGGCAATCGGCCGGAAGCCGGACCACTAGACAGAAGAAATGTGAAGCAATCACAATGATAAAATATGATAAAATATGTTTAAATATCATGAAATATTTGATATGTTCATATAAAAGATGACCATGAACAATAAAATAAATAGTGCCAGCAAAGACATTGGAAGTTCGGAAGACACATTATCACTTGCCTCTAGAGGCCCTTGAGGACGGTCGGTTGTGTTCTGCTTGTAGATGCTTGTAGGCATTTGCGTGAACCGGCGCTGCCTGGGCTCTTTGTTGACACTGATTTTGACAGCGGCCACTTGCACGTGGGGTGCTGTTGTGCTCGCGCTTTTTCCAGGCACTTGTTGAGTCAGCCCTGAATCAAAAGCTGTTGCAAGCTTGGACATGTTGAGATTTTGTTTGATTTTGTTTGAACACACATTAATACACATATTGTATGTCACATACTATGAATTCAGTTGGTCCCTATGTCACTATATGTCACTCAAGGTGGTGGTTTGCAGAGGATCAACAGCCATCTGCTCGATGATGGAGCTCCGGAGAGTTTACGCTTTCTTGGTGTATGGAACTGTCTCATGCAGCTTGGAGGTGACATGTGCTGTGTGTCTGATCAAAGCATAAGGCTTGTAAGGATCAAAAGCAACCAGATGGCAGCGTGGCAAATGTTGAGTTCTTTGCTGTATAATTGGAGAAGGGTATCAAGAGTTGGCCAAGAACAGGAACGTACTTCATACAACCCAACATTGTGGAAGATTTGCGTGTTTTTTTTTTAAACTTTCTGTTTGTTTCTGTGATTCTGTGCCCAGGCTCTCCTCAGTATCCTTCCAGACCGCTCTTTGTGTTGCTGCCTGGGGCTTCTACAGAACCTACCGGCAGCTGGGGCTCTACCCCCCGGTTCCTTGGAATGTGTCACGTGCGAAGCTGTGGCAACGCTCTTGTGCCGAGCTTCAAGAATTTATTGGGGCTGTCACTAAGGAGCCGAGAAAAGGTCGTATCCAGCCAGAAGTTTCTGCCTTTGAATTTGTGTGTGCTCCTTGGCATGCACCCCAGTAAAACACAAAAAGAGGCCTGTGCCATGCAGCTTGGTGCCATAAACCAATAGACCATGATGAGCTGTGCTTTACTCGAACATGCTCGAACTAATGTGAAAATAATTTGTGTGCCTTTCAGCTGCAAAGCTGCAATGATCTCAGAAAGAGATCCGGACATCCCCGATTTCCCCAACCCAAAAGGAAGCAGAAGATGTTGCACTTCTCAGTGACCAATGCCACGGAAACTGGACCTGTGAGCGAGGAGAAGAAGGCCTCAATCCTTTTGCACTTTGGCCATCTTTGGCCAAGTTGACAATATACCCTGCAGATACTGCAGACGATTGCAAAATATTGCAAACATGTCTTTTGAGCACTTTTAAGATCTTCAAAAAGGCTTTGCACATCTCTGCACTCTCTACACCAATTTTAAATTAATGTAATATGTATATAATAGATCATAATAGATAGATAGATAGATAGATAGATAGATAGATAGATAGATAGATAGACAGATAGACAGATAGATAGATAGATAGATAGATAGATAGATAGATTAGATAGATTAGATAGATTAGATAGATTAGATAGATTAGATAGATTAGATAGATTAGATAGATTAGATAGATTAGATAGATTAGATAGATTAGATAGATAGATAGATAGATAGATAGATAGATAAATAGATAGATAGATAGACAGATAGATAGATAGATAGATAGATAGATAGCTATATATAATGTTTAATATGTATATATATATATATTCATATATATATATATGTATATGTGTGTGTATGCATATTGTTGAGTTGCGTGTCTTGTAAGTGCCTTATTTTCTTCTGAAGAATCTGCCCTTGCAGGCGAGCTGGGCCGAACTCCTGTGCCTAGTCCCGCGCCTCCTCGACGTGTGCTGCACGAAAATGCCCCTGGGTCAGTCTAGACTTTTTTCTGCTCGGCAAAGGTATTTCCAATCTTTTCTGTCATCCAAAGCACCAAAAAAAAAATGAAAATAATGTTAACAAAATGTACCACCGGCTCTACATGCCCCTAGCCCGGCCCTACATCCTTCCACCTCATGCCCTGTCCGGCTTGGGATACCGAACTTGGCCAGCCTCGTCCATTCTGTCCTTAGGATGTCCACTATCCGCTGGAAGAGGTTAGGCCGTTAGGCCCATAAGGAGTGTATAAAGTAATTCAAAGCAGTTCAAAACTGAATGATGGGGACGACTGCCTCCAAAGCAAAGGTTTTTGGAAGGAGTGTGTCATCCCGTTTTGGCTTGGGGCTCCAAAGATGGGCCACTGCGATTCTTTGACATGAAAAAGTCTTTGCCATTCTTTGCATGCTAGCCGTCAGCAGCCTGTGGACCTAGTGCGGCTTCATGCGGCTTCATGAAAAGAAGCAAGCATCAGCCAAAGGCTTCGCGTGCTACCAGCCACACTGATTCGAGTGTTTCAGACACAAATGGTGATTGCTGGCGTGGGGAACTTGTGTCATCAGGCTTGCTGTGCCGCAATGATCTTTAGTCAAATTTGAAGCACTCCAGTCAGACTCCAGTTGTCAAGAGTCCTTGCGTTCTCAAATATGTTGACTGAATTTGGATTCAGATCACTGTTTGCCTATTTGTTTCGTTTGCGCATGAAGTCGTACTGGTGCATTGTTTTCGGCTCACGCAGCTGTAGGGTAGGGCAGGGTGAAGCTGCTCAGTGGAAGGCTCAGCGTTTTGGCACAGTCTTAACTGAAGGTTGTAGACGAATATAGACTTTCCCTGTGAGTGATAATTGGCGCATTCGCATAAGTTTCATTTGCTCGCTTTAGTAATCTTACTGTATTAATCTGTATTATATTATATATATGTATTTAATCGTGGGACATTAATTCCAGGAACACTCTTATAACCTCCAGATTTTTGCCTTTTGCGTCGAAACATCGACGCGGATTGTGCATCACAAAGGCCCAGCCTGAGCTGCCGGTTGCTTGGATTAATTTTTTGGGAACTGGAAGCCCAAAACAAAACATCTCAATGTCTTTTGCGACCTTTGCGACCTTTGCGTCACTGTATATTATGAATATATTCCATTCATCTCCCTACGGGCTCAGAGACTGCTCTGTTGTTGTTGAGCTCTTGTTGACTGATGCACCGTATTTGCATGTTTTTTCGGTGTCATTTGTTTCCTCTCAGCACAGCCGGCACAAAAGCAATTATTGACTCTGTCGTCTCCAAGGGCATGTCCCAGACCGAGGAGGCTGGCAATTCGGGTCAAAGTTGTTCGACATGGAGCATTTCTCAGACATCTTAAAGCCAATATCATTGAGGTTGTATGAAACGGTTGAATTTTATCATGGTTTTTGGATGTTCTTGGCATAGGCACTGCGAGTACGTTTCTTGAAGTTTTGTTTTGGGGGGGTGGCTCCAGAGTGCCCCAAGCCTGCAAATCTTGTATAGCCTACTTTCAGGATCTTTTCAGGGGATATAGATTGGTACCTGGACCTGGTGGATTTGTTGCAAGGAGATGCCTGGAAATTGGAAAGAAGCTTCCCTCCGGTGACGCTAATTCTTGGCAGGACAGCCTCAGGATAGTACTGGAGCCCAGCGAGGGGCATGGTGAGCCAGTCAGCTCGGAGCCCAATTTGTGGAGCGGTACAGAGTTGGATCAAACATATTATCATACCATATCATATCACATCACACACATATATATATATTATACATCATATCATATCATATCATATCATATCATATCATATCATATCATATTGTTTCCACGTGTGGATTCTATGGGGAGTCTTGAATCGGTGAGAAATTTGGTAGTTTTGTTGGTGCAACCCAAACTTTCACATCTTGACTTAGGGAGACAACGAACTTTTGGTCATGCAGGTTCCATACAGTACAGTATATACTACATCTGGATACTTACTTGACTATGAAGTTCAATGGCCCAATCCATTTGACATTGCGATCCTATAAGAACATTGAGAACTATACGGATATCATTGATATCATAGAAACATTGGAAACACACGCTGACATATTGTACGTGATAACGATGCATATTACTAACATATTACTGTACTACTGATGTACTGGAATGACCCTAGTGTCTACACTGTCTACACAGCTGAGGCCTGGAGTTAAAAGCTGGTGGTAGCGTGGCCACACTTGGGTGCTCGACCTCAGAGCCAGCAATGCGTTTGTCGTTGAGGCATATTGATGCATAGGAGCCATGACCACAAGATGGCTTGCATTTCTGCATTCACTCTACCCTTCTGCCTTGCACACCCACATAAGATGGAATGCCATGGAATGCCAACAAAGTTCACACAAGCAGCATGACTTTAAGTTCTTTCATTTCATGGTGAGAGTTTACGTTTTTCACCACACAGCTTTCAAGGCGTGGCGCCAAAAATGTGTCGACCTCAAAACTCAAGACATGTTTGGGAGTTGAAGTCCACACTGCTTCTTATCCAAACCATTGGAAACATGACATTTTTCATGACTATATTCTCCAGCTCAGCCACATGTATCAAGAGATATCCCTGCCTCAGGTCTTGGCCATCAACCTTCCGGGAATCTCCAATACGCATGTTGAACTTAGGTGCCCAAGTCAGCCACCTGCATGTCCTGCACCTATGCTATCCTAATACTATCCTCTAATACCTACTGTTATAGTCTGTGAATGTCTGTGATATGTTTACTACATTTATTACATCGTTGTGGATTGGCATGGTACGGTATATGTTATATGACGCCTCTCTCTCTCTATATATAATATACATGTTTAAAGAAAGAAACAAAAACAATATACAATTGATCTGTAAGCTTGATCTAGGCAGTCATGACTCATCAATTGTCGTTTGTAACGGAAAACCTTTGACGTTATTTGGGCGGAACAGAATCGGGAAGTCCGGGGGAAGGGTCTCGACAGAGTCTGGGCATGCTGCAAGGCTGCTGAAGCCTCCTAGTGGGGGTCAAGTCAGCAATGACCTCAGAACAGATTGATGACTGCTCTCTTGAAGATGCGGTGTCCACATGTCTACAGTAAAACTATGTAAAACTTAAATGGACAGTTAGAGTGACAAGACGTCACAAGCACCTTCATCGAAAATCTAATGAGGTGCGGCACATCTCCGGATCAAGGATCTGTCGTCAAATGGCACTGGCCTGCAAGGGCTTGAGGCTTAAGAATTGCATCATTGGCTAGATATGTCATTAATATTCATTAATATTCACGATATGTCGGATTAATTAAATTGCATTCTTTCACAGTATATTCATACTATGGATTCTCTATTTTCATCTATTTTCAAGTACAGTACCAGTACCAGCCTTGATCTAGCCGATGCTGGCTAGCTTCTCAAGGTCAAAGTCCATCAAGGAGCCAGCAAAGCTCAAAAAGGACCGAACCTTCCCAAAGTGGAATCGTCGATGGTCGTAGTAGCTTCATGGGTTGCCCATGATATCCTAGGATCAATTTTCACGGTCCATCCTTGACAGCTCAAATGCTCATGCGAGATCGCGCGGCAGGACACAGATACTCCGCTTATAGATGGCTCAGTCATTGTCTTGCCACTGCGGTCGAAGGTGAAAACGCCTGATTCGCAGGCAATCTGGACCTGGAAAATTGTTCGGACATGTCGGGAGAGGGTGCAAGGATCTGTTTGTATTTTGGATGTTTGTGGCGCTTTGTTGGGTCGCTTGGACTGGATGCCGTCACTGATAGCTGCTTGTCATCGAAGCAGGCTCGAGTAACCCTCAGAGTGCTGGAAAAGGAGCCTGTCTGGGGCTCAGCTTTGTGATTCTGTAATTTCTGAAACACGTCGGTTCCAGATGTTCCAGTAAGCTTGCTAGTGCTTGTAGTTAGTGCATGTTTGAGCCGCACTATACCTTCAGGAGAAGCCGAAAGAAGTGGCCAAAGAGTCCAAGAAGAAGGCCTTTGGCAGTTGAATAAGGTTGATTTGGCAGTTGAACACATAATTTCACAATATGCATCTCGGTGCCAAGCCCTAGGAAATCCTTACGAACACATGCAGCTGAAGAGTGACAGTGACTTGCAGGGTGAGAAAAATGTGGCACCCGAAGAGAAGCCGAAGGAACACAAGAAGACCAAGGATTTCAGATTCGTAAACATAGGATTTACTGTAATAATTTATATATAATTTATATATATATATAGGTAAATGTAGGTAACATATTATTTATCGTATTTGAATGTATTTGATAAGTATACAGTATCCACATACAAGCAATAAGAGAAGGAAAGCCATTGCAAGGCAAAGGCATCATGAATGTACCGATGTACCTTGAGTGCTGTCTTCACTCTGAGGAACTGACCAAACATCTGCGTAGATTGCTCAGCCGCTCAGGAGGTGACGCCTGCAAAGGAGGACAAAAAGGAAGCGAAGGACGATCTTTAGATGAGATTTTGCAAGTGTGTTATGTTACAGTACTCAGTACACACACACACAGACACACATATACACATACAATATATATGTACAGTATATGTATATGTGCATATATATATATTATGTTACTTGCAGCTTCGAATGTTTCGCCAGTTCGATCGTGAGAAAGATCCGCCAATACCTTACTACATGTGGGAGGTCAAGGACAGCAAGAAGGACAAAAAGGAGAAGGAAAAAGAGAAAGACAAGGAAAAGGAGAAAGCAAAGGAAAAGGAGAAGGCAAAGGAGAAAGCAAAGGAAAAGGAAGATGATAAGAAGGACATCAAAAAGTGCTTGCAGTTTCAACACTGGCAGGCAGTTAAGATTTTCACACCAGTCCTTTCTGACATTTGCACAGGCAGCAACGTCCGACGCAACGTGCTGTGCTGGAAATTCATGGAAATTCAACTTTGCCCAACCTTGATGGACATTTCAGTGACATTACCGCAGCCTTACGCACCTTTCGCACGTCTCTTTGTAAGTCTCGGCCTCACAACATGGCAGTTGCTTTCGTGGCCCCGAGCCTCAACCTGAAGACGCAAGCTGTGACCACCCCTTTGGCTCAGCCAGCTCAGCAAGGCAAGGAATCAGAAACATTAAAAAACTCATCGAAATCACATGAACTAACATTGAATAAGAAAGGAAACAGAACACACTTGCAACTGAGTGCTGGCCAAATCGATGCGTTGGACCGCATTCACAAATATTGCGGTGTTGCATGGTGTTGCCCTTTTGACACATATTTTTTGACAGATTTTGACAGCTCTTGTGGCAGGTCAAGTGAGCTCTTCCTTTCCCACTGCCGCTGCCGCTGCAGCGTCCATCGCTGGCGCCTTGGTGGCCCGTAGCGTGGGACGTCAGCGTCGCCGCTTGCCAAAGGCAAGGGTACAGCGACGAGCATCGACCTTGGATCAGCTAAAGGAGGTCACTGGCAAAGATGGTGGCATCCCATTGCAGCTCAGATACGTCAGATATGAAATAATATGAAATACTCATGTTCAGAACAGGTTTACAGATGTTCATAGGTGCTCAGAGAAATTTCAACATTACATTTACATATTGCAAAGCCGTTTCAAAGCCCTTTGACCTGCTAGCTTTGCATGTTTTGCCATTGCATGTTCTTGCATTATTTGCTGAAGGTTCCTGTGACATGATGAGACAATATGAGACAATATATGAATCAAATTGAATCAATATGAGACATACTGTGACATACTGTGACATACTTCTGAACGGAAGTGCCCAGGGACAAGTATCGCAACATCGGCATCATGGCCCACATTGATGCGGGAAAAACCACCACCACTGAGCGCATCCTGTACTACACGGGTCGCGAGAAGAAGATTGGAGAGGTGCACGAGGGACAGGCCACAATGGATTGGATGGAGCAGGAGCAGGAACGAGGAATTACCATCACCAGTGCTGCTACCACGGCCTTCTGGAACGAGCACCGCATCAACATTGTGGACACCCCAGGTCACGTGGACTTCACCCTGGAGGTGGAGCGATCTCTGCGTGTTCTAGATGGAGCTGTGGCCGTCTTCGATGGTGTGGCCGGTGTGGAGCCACAAAGTGAGACGGTGTGGCGTCAGGCGGACAAGTACAATGTTCCCCGCATGTGCTTCGTGCTTCTCGGCACAGCAAACATTGTGAATTATTTTACATTATTTTGACCAAAGAATTTCGTGCCAGGAATACTGAGTACTGGTACATGATGGTACATGTTGTACTACGATGCACTAGTTGTACCTTATGTTGGCGTAATCTTATACACTTCACAATGCTTTTGATTTGCCTGTTTGTCCTTGTTTGCCCCAAGCCAAGAAAAGCCAGGGGGGTTTAATATGGTATAAGCTGTTTAAGTGTGTTGAAGTGTTGCGGGTCCAACATGTCCAGACGGCCCTGCATGTGGCTCAGGAATAAGATGGACCGCGAGGGTGCCGACTTCTTCAAGGATGTCCAGATGATGGTGGACCAACTGGGTACCAATCCCGTGCCAATCCAGCTGCCGATTGGCAAGGCTGCTGGCTTCAAGGGTGTGTATGACTTGGTTGAGATGAGGTCCATTATTTGGACAGGAGAGGAGTTGGGTGCCAACTTTGAGTACAAGGATGAAATTCCTGAGGGCATGGAAGAGTTGGTGGAAAAGTATCGTGAGAATCTGGTTGAGAAGGCTGCCGAGCAAGATGAGGAAGTGCTTGAAGCCTATTTGGAGACCGGTGAGGCCCCAGACGTTGAAACTTTGAAGAAATGCATCCGTAAGGGCACCCTGAGCTTCAGCTTTGTCCCAGTGCTTTGTGGAACTGCCTTCAAGAACAAGGGCGTTCAGCCCTTGTTGGATGCGGTCTGCGACTATTTGCCTTCACCTTTGGATGTGCCACCCACCAAGGGCAAAAACCCCAAGAACGAGGAGGAGGAGTTGGTGCGTGAGGCTTCCCCGGATGAGAAGCTTTCAGGTTTGGCCTTCAAGGTGGCCGCTGATCCTTACATCGGTACCCTGACCTTCTACCGCATCTACTCTGGAAAGGTGAAGGCAGGCGACATGGTGTGGAACCCCAGGACCCCCACAAAGACATGCTTTCCCTGTCAGTTCTTACCATTGGTCGCCTTTACGGTGAAAACTTATGACTTGTGACTCATGACATGTTATGACACCTGTTCCTTACGTTTCAATACTGTTCAATATGATTTCATATGATTGTTCATCATCTAGCATCACGTGCAATGACTTGTGGAGGAGCAAGAGCAAGGAGCGCATGGGCCGCATGGTGTTGATGCACAGCAACAAGCGCGAGGAGATCAAAGAGGCCCAGTGTGGCGACATCATCGCCATCGTCGGCTTGAAGGACACCACCACAGGCGACACCTTGTGCGCTGTGGATGCCCCAGTGGTGTTGGAGAAGATGGACTTCCCTGAGCCGGTGATCAAGGTCTCTTGCGAGCCAACTTCTCAGAAGGATGCAGATAAGTTGGGTGAAGCCCTGAACAAGTTGGCAGCTGAGGACCCATCTTTCCGCTACAGCCGTGATGAGGAGTCCAACCAGACTGTCATTGAGGGTATGGGCGAGCTGCACTTGGAGATCATCATCGACCGCTTGAAGCGTGAGTTCAAAGTTGAGGCTGAGGTGGGCAAGCCTCAGGTGGCCTACCGCGAGACCATCACCGAGCCAGTTGAGTTGTGGTACACCCACAAGAAGCAGACAGGTGGCTCTGGACAATATGCCAAGCTGTGCATGGTTTACGAGCCAAACCCTGGTGAAGGCTTCGAATTTCAGAACTCTGTTGTGGGCGGAGCAGTGCCTAAGGAGTACGTCCCCGCGGTGGTGAAGGGCACCGAGGGGGAGTTGTTGAACGGCATTCGCATGGGCTTCCCAGTGGTGGATGTGAAATGCTCGCTTAAGGCCCATTGGCCCATTGCACTTTTTCATCTTTTTTCCCTTTAGGGATGAGATGTGGTGAGTGAGGCCTTGGCTCAGATTTGTTCTTGGCTTGTCTGTTGCAGATGTTTGCAGTGCTGCTCGTTTGCCGTGCCCACTGCTGCCCTAGTATGATGTCAAAGCGGTCAAGCAGCATGAGTTAAGGCACGGCAGCTTTTCCAACAGACATAGTCCATCTTAATCCTCTGACCGATGTCGAATATGCTGACGATACTTTCCTCATCGCTCGGACTCAGGAAACTCTTCCCGACTTCTTCACCTTCTCCAACATCTAGCTGCCAGAATTGCTCTACCTATCTCACTTTCTACACATGTCAATGCCTATTCCGAATGTGACTGTCCATTTTGTGCCTCTTTTTTCCACTCCACTCCTGATCCGGAGGCCCTAGGCACTCCCCTCACCCCACTTTCCAGCGCAAAATATCTTGGCTGCTTGGCTCCTATATTGCTCCCACCACCTTGGAGCACTCTTTCAGACAAACACTCATCTCACAAAAATTCAAACTCCGTGTATATTCTCAGACTATTCAATCCATCTCAGATTTACTCTCCTTATCTCTCCTCAACTAGCAAAAATTGACTCTCTCCACTACAAGACCTTGCACAAAATCTTCCAAGTCAAAAGTCCCTATATACTACAGGTATCACCGTGTATTGCAGCCCTCAGATTCTCTTGTTCGAATGCGTTTCTTTTCTCTTTATCATACCCAATTCTGTATTCCTTCTTCCATGAGAATTTCCGACTCTCGCATCAAGCATCTCGGTCATATACTACGTCATCCAAATTGCCCCAATTTCCTCACTTGTTTTATCCATTCTCTTTCCTTGCGTGCCATTTCAGCCTCGTTCCGTCGTGGCGCCCCACGAGCGCACTGGCCTGAAATCACTCTTGCTGAAGCCCCTCATAGAGTACAACAATATCGCCACTTTCCTCCCATGTTAGGCGACTTTCTACACTCCTTGTATCTTCATTTCACTATTGTCAAACTCAAGCAATATTCCCCCACCAGTATGAAGCAGTGGTACAATACTACCCGATGCATCCACCTCCTCCCAATTTCTGAAGACAGGGACGTGAAATAGGCAACCAAGCTTAGGGATTGCTGCTGTGGACGTGTTGTTCTCTGTGAACTGCGTATCGCGTGTGAAAAAAAAAACATAGTCCTGAAGTAGTAAGTAGTTTAGTAATATTTGTGCAAGCTGATGGATGGCGCATTTGAATACACTTGAAGGATGGTGGTTTTCACCCAGTGGACTCCTCTGCCATTGCCTTCGAGATCGCTGCTCGCGCGGCCTTCAAGGAGGGTGCTGGCAAGGCCAAGCCTATTGTCATGGCAACACAGCTGCATTTGAACCGCACGGATTCACCTATGTGTTTTGGTTCGGTGAATTTTGGTGATGTTCGGTGCAGTCTTGCAATACCTCAGCTCGGTCATGTCGGTTTGCAGCCTTTTCTCGAGACGCTGTGTGAGTCATTCTGGCGTTGAACATTTCTCAAGGGACACGCGTTGCCCGTTGCTGTTAAACTTATAGCTAGTGCCCGGAGGGGAAGCAACTTAAGAAAGTGCTAGATGTGGAAGGTTCCGAATGGTCGCTAAGAAATCAGTTTCTGGACCCTTCCAATGCATTCAAACCACCTCCCTTTCTGTCACAATCTGTCACATGTCATTTGAGGAGCCCATCATGAAGGTGGAAGTCATTACACCAGAGGAGTACATGGGCAGCTTGGCCCCGCACATACAGTCAATTGGAAGATGTTGACATTCTTTGGAATTTGGATATCCCAGTCCGAATTTTCCATAAAAAGTGAGGGCGCCCAGACGCAGCCAAAAAAACACAGCTCAGGTGAGCTCAAAACCATGCGTTGTCGTTTGAAAAAAATGGTTCGGTTATGTTTGTTTTTTTGTCTTTGTGAAGAGCGCGAACAAATTAATTTTTCGGAGATTCTTCCTCACGAAAAAGATCAAAAACAAATCGTGAATTCGAAGATTTGGAAACTGGATTTCTCATGATTTCTGTAGACGCTGGTTGGTTTTACCTTTGTCATTGTATGTGCATTTTTTTTTTGTTGTTGATGCACCCCATTCTCGGGGTACAAATTTGCAATTTATCAGACATTCTTGGACACACACTAGGAAAAGGGGTGCGTAAGGTCACCCTCTAGTGCGGATGGGAGTTGATATCATATGATATGAGGATTACATGTCTACTAGTGACATGTTCATATTGTTGTTTGCGATAAGTGCATTTTTTGGAAAAGAAGGCCTTGTACGCAATTCATGTTTCCAACGATGCGTATTGAACTGTTTGGTGAACCTGGAGCGCAACATGTCACAACCGTTCATGTTTTATGCAGTGAGTATGAATCAGGCAACATCATTGGAGATCTCGATAGCCGCCGTGGCATTGTCAACGAGTTGGGTACTCGCCAGAACTTGCACGTCGTCAATGCCAGCGTTCCCTTGGCAGAGATGTTCAGCTACATTGCGGAGCTGAGAAATTTGTCCAAGGGTCGTGCGAATTACAGTGCCTCGGTTTTACGATTCAACACGTTTCAACTATCAAAAATGATTATATAATCATCGGTTGTTATTTGGCAACAGGCATTGTTTTCAAGGATCATGGTGGTACGTGTGTTGTTGTTTCTGTAGGATAATTGGGGCTATATTTTTGCCAGCCCATGATAGGTTTATAGTAATTTATATAATATATCAAGTAACATAAATTATCTATAGAAGCTAGATATAATTAGTAGTGACAGGGAGACACAAACAACCCAAAAAAAATCAAGATTCCGCTCCAAAAATCCGATAGAACATGTGTCAGAGTACAAAGTTGGAGTTGTTTGTAGGGACTCGAGGTGTGGGAAAATCACGCAATTTTCTGGACAAGGGGGCATTCATTTTCTTTCGATGTGCCTGCTTCATGAAATCACCCATTCATGCCCATTCATTCATAGTGAGATGATTGCATCAATCACCTACGAAAAGACATTGTTGCGATGGTGCCATTCTAGAAAACTAGCCTTTATGAAATTTCTTGAAAATCAAAACGGGACTGGTTCCGACAATCATGGAACAGTTAAGATGATAGGACAATTTGTTTTTTGATAGACTTTGCTCCCAGGTGTCATTTTGTAGAACAAACCAAGGTGGTGTTTTTTTCGATTTTTTATTTTTGAAATTTGCAGACAGCTGAAAAGTGGACGGACTCCATTTTGCGCGCTCTCCAACCACCTTTTCGATTCAGACAAATCAAAATTTTCCAGAAGTTCATTTTACTGTACATGTTCTTGGCCTTTCGGTCTCTCCATGTAGGAATGGGAGATCATGAAAGCACAATATGAAAGCATTAACAAAGTGGGTTGACTGCGTTGGCAAGGCATGGAGTTCGAGAAGTACGAACCTGTGCCTGAGAACGTTGCTGAGACCATCCAAGCCAAGAAGTGAGACACATTAGTTTGAGGACTTCAATTTTCTGACCTCACCTGGTCCATGAGTTTTCGGTCCGCTTCCTTGGCGAAAGACCCACTCCTGGCAACTTTCAAAGACGTGATAATTTTCTCTGCGTTTTCTCCCTTCATGACAGGATACCATGATAGGAACAAGTTTCTCTCAGATGGCACGGCAGATGTAGCGCTAGCGCAACGCAAGCGATGAAACTTGTTTGTGCCAAGATCCTGCACAGAGCCAAAAAAGGAAATTGAGTTGAGCCACGAGTATTGAGTTGAGCCATGACTATTTGCTGAGTCAGATTGCGTGATCAGATGCCTTTCCAGAGTTCCCGAAGCTCTTGCACATTGTCTTTGGGTGGAATTTGTGAGTTTGTTGTAAGCAACTTGGCAGTGTGAAAAGCTCGCCCTGAGAAGGACAGCAAGAAAGCCAGCAAAAAGGCTGATAAGAAAGAGGAGAAAAGGGAAGAGAAAGCTTCCAAGAAAAAGCCAACAACAGTGGATAGCGATTCCGAGGCACCGTGTGATTGAAAAAGACGGGGAAGGCAATGTGTGTAGTTAGTATATGTGAGTATCTAGTGAGTATATATAAATATAGCGAGACATGGGGGCAAGTGGACTTTTCAAATTCATGAGAGCTGCATCAGATATCCTCGGGCTAAAGCAATGCAAGCCGCTGACATTTGCATCTGGCCTCTGCCAGGAGGAGCCTGAAGTGCTTGGGGCTCAGACATGCCCGAAATCTGGTGGAAAACCAGGAAAGGTTCGTAATGGTTCGTCTGTTTTCCAGTGGCTTCGGAATTTTTCAGGCCAGTGCCTGCTCCAAAGCCAGAAGAGCCAGAGATTCCAATGCCAAAGGCCGCTGCGAGCTCCTGTTGAGTCTATTGGAGCTGAAATGTGACATGGCGGGTCCTTGCCTATATTGGGCCTTGCCTATCAGTGCCCTCCCAACACACATCCCAGCATCACTTAAAATACAGCAGCTCCGGATAAAAATGTCAAGTGGACGCAGTCAGAATCTGCAAAGCTGCAATACCGTAGCATTTGCTCGGAACCACCATGCCCGTGGTGAAAGTGCCTCATGATTAAGCATCGATCCTTATTCTATTCTGCTCGTAGCCTGAGTGCTTTTCTGCAGATGCTCCTTGCTGTTGCTACCCATGTCTTACCTTTGTGGTGTGTATGATCTGCTTGTTGGCCCGATGTATGTTGCTTGAGGCACAGACTTTGGCAGTATTGCACTTAATGATGTGTGGCTGGATTCTAGATGAAAATTGACTGGCAGGCAGCTCAGAAGGAAGACTCAGAGGATGCAATTTGCATGGTGTTTTGATCTGTTTTTTCATGTTCTTTCACTGTTTTCAAAGATCGCTTCCCAGAGTAGTTCTTTTGCTACTGCCCCTTTTCACTGAAATGTAATTGGAACAGAGCCAGTTCATGGAACAAGCGTGAACAAGTCCGTTGAGACAAAGTGCAAAAGTGCAATGGTGAGTTTGGGGTGACCAGGATGAAGATGAGAAAGATGAAAAGGAACCAGAAAAAGATGATGATGAAAAGGACGAAGAGGACAAAGAGGATGACAAGGAAGAGGAGAAGGTGGAGAAGGAGGATGTTGAAATGGCAGAGCCTGAGAAGCTGGACGATGATGAGGATCTGGCAGTTGGAAAGTGATTGGGCATCTTGGGCCAGAGATTTGGAGGTCAAAGTTTTCCGACGTCTTCAGGGTTGGGATGGAGCAGCTGGACCACAAGAGACCATCCTTTACCCGGCCTGCGACCTGCGGCCAGGACGACGACGATGACGAGCCCGAGAAGATCGAAGAGCCGCAGCCTTGGACCAGAGACCGCGACCATACCAGGAAGAGCTGCAGATTTGAGCCTCACACCATGGATAGATAAAAATTGGTTGTCTAAGATCCTAAGCTAACAGCTGATTTCAAGCGGGACCAATGTCTTATCTGGACAGCCTACCTTCAAAGTCCCGAACCTTGCTAAAATAAAACGTTCTGCGTCCCGCTACCATTCAATGAAGTCGATGAGTAGCTGGTAGGATCTGGTAGGTGGTAAATTGGAGGGTTAGAATATTTTGGAGCTTGGATTGCACGCCGCGACTTTGTTTCAAACATTTTGAGATCGCATGTGGCTCACTTGAATGCCCTTGACGTCTCGAGGCCGCAGAAGCTTGGGAGCGACTCTGATGTTGACATGGAGAAAGGCCACATGTGATTTGATGTGACGATATGACTTGAGTTCTGGCCTGGCATTCCCTGGAACCAAGGCCCTGTGCACAGGAGATGTCAGGAGCAGTGCTGGGACCATGCCTTTACCTTCGGACCCTTTTGGCTCCAAGGGAAGTGTATACACTATGCAGCAGACATCAGCAGACAGTTCAACACCTTGAAGACTTGATAACAAATGACTGATGACCATGGGTTCCGATGCACTTCCCCAACGCAGAGATTCTCCCCTGATACATTGAGATTTGAGGTTAAGCTTTTGAAAACAGAATCCGTATCTTCCAGCTGCAGCTGGTATTATGACAGCATCAAATACAATCTTCAGGTTCAGCATGTTTCAACCAACGGGCAGTTGATTTGACATTCATTGACATCTCACTTTCACATATATAGTAGTGGCAGAATGTGAAATTTATAGATTTCTTAGCCAGCATGAAAATAATTTAATCCTGAAAATCAATGAAATTGAATAAACATGAATTCATGAATGCAAATTTCAGCATTTTCCCTTCTTTTGGGCCATGGAAAATGGTCGCAGTAGGCCTCCAGGATGCCCCGGGTTCCCGGCCTGGGCCTTGGACAGAGCTATTTGGAATGCTCATGCTGGGAGCACCAGGTGCTGAGGCCAGGGCAAAACACGTTTGCATCATACGCATCAAATGCATTTCAAATGCGCAATATATTATATATATTAATGTTTTTCAATAATATTTAAGTATATTATATTTTATTTCATTTTGTTAATATATATATATTATATTCTATTTTAATTAATTATCGTATATTGTTGTTCGATTATATTATATTTTATTTTACTTTTTATATCAGGCTATATAATCTTGAATGAGATTATACTATATTGTGTTTTATGATGTTATATAATCATGTTATGATATGATGTTATTAAATTGATTATATAAATTATTATGTTTTATATATTGGATCATATTATATCATATTATATTATATTACTTTATTATGTTATTGTATATGTTATTTTTTTATATTTTATTATTTTATATTATATTGCTTATCTATGTTATATTATTTATGTTATATATATATATATATATTATTATGTTATTGTTTACTGTGTTTTATTTTTTATGTTATTTTACATTTTATTAATTATATTATTTAGGTTTTTATATCTATAGAATATGTTCTTATTATAAACATATTGTGTTTATTATCATTATATAATATTCTACGTGATTTAGATTGATTTTGCATGATTTTTCAGAGGTTGGAGGGATCGGGACCGTCCATGCCACTCTTGTCTTCCATTCTTTCCGTATTCCCTAGGCGCCATGGCATTATATTATTGCATTCCAATATGCACATGTTGATGTTGCTTGAAGCATCTTGAAGCATTCCCATGAGTCTTTCTTGTTGCATTCCATTGGAGTATTGGAGTCATTGGAGTCATTGTAGGTTGGAAGCCCCAGCAGATTCGTTGGGCCCGGTGCATGTGCTGAGCGCCTGGTTTGGCCACCCCACTCGAGAAGACCTGCGCGTGGACGTGACGGATCAGCTCCGAGCTGTGGCAAGCGATGCATCGATCGGCATCCAGGTGTCCGCTTCCAACCTGGGCATCGCAGGCGCAGATGGCTGTGGAAACCGTGGCCCGAGCTACAAGAACTCCAGATATCTCAAGAAACTTCTGGTCTCTTGTTGCTACAGATGGCTTGATGAAGGTGCTGAAGAGGTGTGTAGTTTGTTGGCTGAAAAGGCCACAGAAGAAGTGCATGCCACAGACCCTCGCCTGGCAAAGCTAGAGCAGAAGCTCACGGAGCCACATGGTCCATTGCTTTCATCAGCAGCTGAGCACCAACTTCAGATTCTTCAGCTTCAAAGTGCCTCATCCTTGGCATTGGAAGGCCTTTTATATCTTTCAGAGCGTCGACAGCGAGTCTTCATCCAGGCCGCCGCGTCAATTACCAGCCATGGCTTTCCCTTTGCTTATGTCGCCTGCAGAGCAGCACAAAGCTTGGCGCGAGCCTTGCGGCTCTGTACGACCTGCGCATCTGATGGACTTGCAAGTTCTTGTGCTTCCAAAGCTGAAGTACGGGACTTCATGCAGCAATGCCTGCGCTATGGCTGCTTGGATGCAACAACGCTTTTCTATACAGTTGTTTTTTTCATGTTGTTCCGTGTTTTTCCCTCTTAGTCTTTTTTGTTTCTTATTTTGCTTTAGTTCCAGAATTATATAGTTGTATTGCCGATCTGAGGGATGCTGCTTCTTTTGCAAGTTGAGCTTTTTGGAAGACGAGCTGATTTTTAAATTTGGGTGCTTGTAAAGCGGGTTTGGAATGTAGAATCAGTAATGAATAACTATGATTCAGTATGAATAAAGAAGTTATATTGGAAGTGCTTTGGGAATTGGAACCGAGTTGGGCCAAGGGTCTCAGCTGGTCTTTGAGCGCCTTTTTGGCGAGTTTTTCAAGCATGTTCACGCAGAGTGGCTCGCTCACCGTCACACCTTTCATGACGCTTCCATTGACTATTTGCATCAGTTGATCAAGGCAATCCCGCTGCAAATTTGCGGTGAAGAACAATGCAGGAATCAAGCATCCAGCTGAAGTGTATCTGCTACATTCTGCTACCAGCTTGTGACTGCTTGTGTGCCTGCATCTGAATTGAATCTTTCGTATGAGGTACAGTAAGTCCCGCGTCAATAGCTTTGCCATTTGCTTTCATGTTGCCTGCAGGTGGCCCACGAGGAATTGTTGGACCTTCTAAGACAGCATGCCAAGGACTTTCATGGTGTGCTGTTGGTGCACGGTTGGAAAGTAAGACTTTACTGAGAATAAGATGATTGACAATTGAGCTATAAATAATGACAATTCAAGATATCACAGATCTTTGATTCAAGCATCGTAAGATATTTCCAAAGTTAAGCTGTGAAAGGACTCGAGGCATCAAATTGAAGAAGACATCCTGCGCGCAGAGACCTTGTTGGAGGCTGCACGCCTGGCGTTCTGCCCATTGTGCCTCCGACCTTTGCAGCAGTTTCCAGATGAGGCCCCAGCTGCGTTCTTCAAGATCTAACAAGATCTAAAGTGTATGAATCGGGTTTCATAGTTTCGTACTCTGGGTGTGCGTGTTGTACTTTGGTTGGGACATGTTGGCTTGCCAGGCGCCTGTATATCACAGGATAGGGCATGAATAGGCACTACCATCGGATGTTTCTGTTTCTGTTTGAGGTTGGTGCTCTTGTCGATGGGCAACGAAGAAGACTTGAGAGTACTTTGCCGCTTGGTCAAGCTTGGCCGAATGATGCAAAATGATGCAAAACAATACAAGGGACGACAGGATCACACATGTCCGGCTCTCCAGCTGGCACCTTTAGTTGTGCAGCTCAGGTATCACCGACGTTGCGTTTTTCATCTCGCAGACGGCTGGTGTGGTGCGGGCGGTTGTGATGCCACATGGGCAGCCGAGCCTCCACCTTTGCTGATGCAAAAGACTGGCGTAGCGCAGGGATGGTGGCCTACGCCACCACTCACTGCAGCTTCAGATTGGGCAACTGGGCAGCGAAAGAAACAATATAACATGCAGAATTATCTAAATATAGATGTGAATAGATATGATATCATATAATATCATCAGGCACGCACGCATATATACAAATTGCTGTATATACGTAATTATATATAATAGAATATATATATATATATACAATAGAACATATAACATATACATTCTAATACGCATATATTCAGCTACGATGACTTGTACAGTATTTGAACAACTTTGGGTCCTTGGGTCACGTCACGCTCACATGCTGTCCTCAGCTGCCATATTTGGCCATACCTCCAAAGGCCCTAAGGCTTGCTAGGGATCAGGCTGATGGAACATGATGGAATTGAACCTGTCCTACTGGATGCATATCGGCGCCCTTATGCAGCACCACACATGTATATAAGATCATGTAAGGCAAAATTTGTGGCAAGCGGAGCTTGTTTGGGCAGCCTGGCATGCAATATGCAAACTGTTCGCGGGGGGATTGGCGCCCGGGGAGAATATGGAAATATTGAAGCACAATGAAGTACATTTAAATAGGTTAAATACAATACATGACGATTGATGACTCTCATGAAGATATCCTTGACTTCCGCAAAGCTGTGCCCATGCTGAGAAGCTTCGATGAAATGCAGAAGATCACAAAATTTGGCATGTGGAAGGGATGCTGCGCAACGTTTTTCGTATAAATTTCAGTGCGTCAGTGCTGTAGTGCCCACCGAGGTTTGCGAACATTCGAGCTTAGCTTCACGATAATGACCTGGCTTGATGCACACTGACATACTATTGACATACTGACATACTATTGACATATTGTTCCCGGTTGTTTTTGGAACACTCACCGTCATTTCCATCACTTGTAATCTACCTTTATCCAAGGTCAGCCGCTTGCAAGTCTAGCTGTGCCAATGGAGCACGTGGCCGCAGCTTGAACGCATGTATTTGCAGTATCATGGAATTACTTGCACGTGCTGCCTGGGCCTACACTATCTTTCCTTGCTATGTCTTCCATCTTCGAACTGCCGAGGTTAGCCTTGACAAACGATATGTCACTAGTGGCACTAGCGGCTTCCAATGAGATATTCTTAGATTTTAGATCAATTGGATCCGTGTCCAAAAGGGAAAAGCCATGCAACCGCTTCATAGACAAATATGCTGATTCTGATAGGTGACCTTGGCCGCATCGCTGCCAGTTCATGCCAAACAGTTGCTGTGGGACTTGCAGCGCTTTCATACGTGTGGGCCTCAAAACGGATCATTTCGGAGAGTTTGCCTGGGACTCATTTGAGTTGAAAACGTGGGCCATGGAAAAATGCGGCAGAACATGGCAGAACCATGTGTGCCCGTGTGGGTGCAAGTGCCAAACTAGTACTCTCTTATCATTTATCAAAGCGGATAGTTTTTTTTTGTTTTTTTTGTTTGATCTTGCTTACAATATTTTTCGATTCTGAACTTGACTGCGTTTGACTAATAAGGTGCGATGATGGCGAAGGATGTTTTGTACAGGACATTGCGTGTTGCTACCAACACGACCCGTTCACTGAGAATGATAAAGAATACAGACATTGAAGATGCATGAAGGCAGCATCACGGAGCGCATACTTGCCTCCTGGCAATACAAGAACCCCTATATTATATGGATCAATATGGAACTTGTGATCCCTACTAGTACAGAGACATGATACATGTTTGTATTTTTTCCTGACATATCTTAAGGCCTTAGACTTAGATCGCTTTGTTCTTGGCATGGAGGACATAAACACTCTGGAGTCCATCGCGAGCTGGGCTTTGCAACAAGCTGTGCGCTTGGACTGGTGGGCAGCCCCACCTTTGGCTTCTTTGTCGGAGACTTCATTGGAACATTGGTCGGCTTGGTGCCTTGAAATGAAGTTGCTGCACTTTCCGGAAAACTACATTGAAACCATCGACTTACATTTATTCCAATTCAGTTTCAGCTACGCTGTTACCTTGAGAGAATCACAACATTTCGCAACCACTTCTATTTTTCAAAAAGACTCTCGATTTCAACACCTTGATTATTTGCTATTATTTGATGTTGATCCGTGACAGATCGTGACAGCATTCCCGAGACAAGGCTAGTTTTCCCTATACACATGTGAGGTTTCGCCATTGGGACATTGAGAAGAACGGCCACCTGACAAGTGGTGCACTTGCGCTGGCTTTAGGACAGCAAGTGGCAGGGTGGTCGGTGCTCTTTGCATCTCTCCAAATCTCATTTGTCTCCACTTCAGAGAAGCTTGATCCGTCCTCTTTTTCAGCACTTTGGAAGCTTGAGCTTGGTTACTTGTTTTGTCACTTCTCACATGTTGCATGTTTGGCTGAGAGGCGCTGCTGTCCGCACGGCTGCAGATACATTTTCTCCTGCAGCCATGTCCGATCCGCTAGAAGAGGCAGTGCGCACAGGGCGTCACACGGCAATGTTGAACTTGTCAAAGCCCTGTGAAAGTTTGTTGAAGTATGAGGGAGGCATCATGGGCCATCACCATGTGGGTCTGTGTGTGTGTGTGCACGCACGGGATACGCACGGAGAACGACAAACGCAAGTGTTTGCACTCCATTTATATTTTCTCATGTTTGGCAAACAACGAAGCCGAATGTCCAGGTGTTGCCTCTACTTTGCTCCCTTGGTGGATTGCAAAAGATCAGTTTTGGGCGCTTTCTGAGCCCTGGGGCTTAATCTTTCGGAGCAAGGTTTGATTGAGTGCGTATGGATTCAAGGTAGGCAGATCAGCTGGCTGTTAAACCATTGAGGCATACTGAGGCTATGAGGTGGTTTCGGACCACTTGCACGTTGTCAAGGGTCAAGTGTAGCAGGAAGTTCAGTTGTAAGTTTTATACTTATGGTTTAGTGGGTGCATGGGCCTCTTTGTTTGGGACCCTCTGTCAAGCATACCTAGCTCCCCAGGACTATTTATAAATCATTCAAGACTATATATAAATCATTTAAGACTAGATTAACTAATATGATGTGAAATATATGATATGAACCATGTCAACTAGGGCCAATCTGCTTCACTGCCCCTTTTCCAAGGACAAGGGCTTCTGGAACACCTGGGTTTGTGCAAATATCAAACTATCATTCTACACTTTTTGGGTTAGCTAATTTTCAGTCGATCCCGAATATATTTGACAGAATTGCAATTTCTGAGCAGCTCTTTAGGGTTAAGATTAAAGCGTTGCGCGCATCACAAAACATAGCACTGCACGGACAACATTGACAACATCCAATTTTGTTTGAGCATTTTAAACACATCGTGTTGACATGCCGCACACGCTAAATGAGACATAGCGCCCTAACGTGTCCATTGTTGCACACGGCATCGTGCAGAACGCGAAAACACATTGCAGGTTTCAAGGCGGTGAAACAGCTTGAGAGCCCGAACATGTGACTTTTTTTCAAGACATGAAGGCAACCATTACCCAATCAATCTGTGCAATCCGCGTTGCGAACCACAGCTTCTCACCAACCACATGGTGAATCCCAGCCATATCACACGTTCAGGTTTCATTTGAAGCAAGAGCAGGAAATGCACGTTGCGCTTTTCTACATTTTCTCGATGCGCGCTTCCACCATACCATGCTGCACTTCCAACCTCTTCCACACACAGCAGTCACACATCGCAAGCGGCCATGCTCAACATGCTCTACAATGAATTGTAGACTAAAATGAAATAAAGAGGAATTTTCGGATTTATATAGAGTTTGTACATGTATGTGTGATTTACTCCCATCCTGTTGTTGATTTCACTTATTTGGCTCAAGTTGCAAAACGTTGCGGCTTGCGCTATCGCTGCATTGGTGTGTGCTTCTATGTCTACACTACGCGCTATGAAATATGTTTCTTTCATAGGCCCTACGGTTTTCAATGAGCGCTGCGGCCGCAAAATTGCAAACGGTATTTGGTGTAGTCCCAATCCCACATACAGGGCCTCAGCATTTTGAAGTGGTAGAACGGTGACTGGGACCAGCCCACAACCCACTGTCTTTAGATGATGGAACTTAACTATCACTCTAAGACTAGCCTTTTTGTGTACCTGAGGCATATGCGTTTCATTAGACACGAGCGTTTTCGGGCCGGTTTCGCAGAGCCTTCCTGAGACATATTTTGGCCACCGCCAGCAGGCGGCCATCCCAACAAATCCACCAAATCCAACCGGGTTTCGGGTTTCGCGGAAGATTTCCTAGGCCTACCCGAAGTCACTGGCGCCCAGGACATGTATAAATAGCTCGGCAAGGTTTTTTTTTTGGGTTTATAAATAGTCCCAAAGATTTTTTCCTCTTTAATTCGCACTTTTTGGCGTTTTGGCCGAAAAGAGAGCCTGAACGGGTCCGGTTTCTTTTTTTGGCAACGGACTATTCCCCCACTGGACCCGGCCAATCCGGCATGTCCTGCAGGATGGCCGCGTGTCCGCAAAGTCAAAGGAGGAAATAGGCGTTTTTTTCAAAACATACAGCGTGGGCAGGGGTACACTGCACGTCTTCCGGGTGAAGGCAAAAGTGTGTTGAACAAGCGAGGGCGCAACGTATTAGATATCCATTATGGACTGATGAAAACACCTCCTTTGATGCAGATCTCAGGTTGGGCTTTTGGATTCGGATCTGTCTGTCTATCGGTCTGGAGGTCTGTCGGTCTGTCTGTCTGTCTGTCTGGTACTGCTACCTTTTTCTTTTTGCCGGATGCTTTGTCTGTAAGTTGAAATAATATGGTTGCTGTTTGTTTCTACATCTTGGTTTCACGATCTACTTCTTGTTTTCTTGTTTGAAAATTGAAAAGAAGATGAAGAAAATCATAGTTCGGAAAAGAGGTTAAGCATGTCGTATGATATGCTCTTACTAGAAACCGCTTGGAACCGTTCCGAGCCGTTTATACCTTCTGCATATTAGGTCGTGTTAAAAATAGCCCCAAACCGCTCCGAACCGTTCCGAGCTATTTGTAAAAACCATTTACAAATAGCTTTGAACCGCTCCAAGCCGTTCCAAGCTACTCATACCACCAAAACCTAATTAGTCCCAATTAGTCCCAATTAGTCCTGAATAGTCTTGACAGTATAAATAGTGTTGAACCGCTCCGAACCGTCCCGCGCTATTTATAAACAAGCTTTTGTAAATAGCCTGAAACCGCTCCAAACCGCTTGGAACTATTTCAAAACAGCTAGAATTGATGCTGGGTAGAAACCGCTTGAAACCGCTTGAAGCCGTTTTTAAACAATGGATTTTTTCAAAGAAAATGCAATGTTTTTTTCTTTGATCTTTGAGTGATATATCTTATATTTGTTTGTTGCACAAAACACAGTTATCTTACTAATGATCAAAATTATACAATATGAGATGACATATTCAAACATACACATATTCATAACATATATAAAAATATATTTACTATTTGTGTGAGAACTCAAAACCAAGCAGTGAGATCAGTTTGCAACTGTGGTCTAAATACTAGTAGTGCAAAACCCTTCAGTCCGGGATTGCCACTGAAGTAGTTTATACTTTTGGCTGCCCCATCAGCAAGAGCTGTCTGTGGGAAATAAGGGTGCAAATACTCCACGGCAGAGAGCTTGGAAAAAACATCGTTCCATGTGCGGGCTGTTCCGCTGCTCTTTGCACAGTCCCGCAGGTGTGGCAACCCCCTGCCTGGATCTGCCTCTGTTCTGTGAGGATAGAGATTTCTATTTTATAAATAGCCCCAACAAATTTATAAATAGTCCCCAGGCCTATCTCTGTCCTCACAGTCAAAGAGGCCGACGCACGCCCTAACTTATGGTTTAAACTGTGCAAACCCTACTGTGGAGTTGTATCTTACTCGCCTTTAGCTCTGCTGAACTCCTTGAGAAGGCGATGGAGAGAGAGACTGTTTTTAACGCTTGTTGAAGTTTGTTGTGCAATATTCTGAACTTCTGACATTCTGAGGTGAGGTTGCTGCATCAGCTTCAGAGCTGCTAAGGAGGGTAAACACAAATTGGTGATGGTGGATGCAAGTTTCAGCTTGTGTCAGCTTTTGCCGTACATTGGAACTTTCCTCCTTGCTTCGAGCCAAGTTGCTTCAGGAGACACCTTTCTTCGCAGCAACCAGCGCGGGCCCAAGAAAAGAACGTGCCAGTTCTGAAATGACTGCATTTGATGAGCAGATTTCATGTGATTATAATGATTTAATCAGATTCCGATTTTTGAACCTGACTGGCCAACTGGCTTTCAAATGCTTGAAGGAGAGTGTTGCAGCGACACCGGGCCCACATGATTCGCCAAAGGAGGTCAAGGAGGTAAGTTGATGTTTGACCCCTTGCTGGACGCCAAATGCCATCAAATGCCATCAAATGCCATAGTCTTGCATGTTCTTGCATGCTGCATCCATTTGCATCCCTGAAACTTCGGGATGCTCAGAATTGTGGCGACTGGCTTATCTGACTTCGCATGAGCGAGTTTTTTGACAGGATCGCCGATGCAATTCGAAAGACGCCAATAAATCCCGCTGCCGTTTGACTTTCATTGGTGGCTTGGAAGATTTGGAAGCAGCGGATGACTTTATATGACTTGCATATCTTGCACGCAGTGCTGCCGTCTTTTTCTGTTGCTCTTGGGGTGGTGCAGTGCTGTGTCATTTGATTATATTTGATTTGGTACATTTACTCAATGTAGGTATGTAGGTCCTCCCAACATATATTTTGAATATTCAGTATTTACGCCAAATGAACTAGAGGAGGAAACAACAAACACAGTAAGATGGCTAGAGGGTCTAGTTGGCTTCAGCCTTGCCCCCTGACAGAGAACATGTGAGAACAGAACATTGTGAGAGAAACGCGGATGACAAGATGAAAAGGCAGTGGCCTTCAATGAAAGATCAATGAAAGGTATGAAAGGAGATGAAAGGTGGAAACAAACTCCTAAGTATCCCCTGGGTTCATCTACGTTCCAGTGAGAACTTAGAGCCGTTGACACGTCCACCTCGGGCACGAAGGTTTGTGCGGACGGCGAAGAGTGGCGCATTTGGCTCCAGAACTGCCACTACAGCTGCGGCCATTGCTGCTGGGACTGGCTGCAGACTCTCTCGGCTTCGCCCTGGTACAGGAGACGCTTGGAGACGCTTGGAGACGCTTGGAGACATGGTGGAAGACACTTGGAAGATCTTGGAAGACTTTCATAGACGTTCTTCAAATCTTCTGCACTGCCTCAATCTGCCGATAATGATCCTCATGTGTTCTTTTCCAACAGTTCGAAATGTTCGACTTGGCTCGTGCAGGAAGCCTTTGAGTCTGATGGAGTGCTGCACCTTTTCTGGGCTGGCCGTGAGCTACCGCAGGATTGGGGGATATTGGGTCCATGCAGGGCTGGGAAGTCTTGTGAACGTGAAACTGTGCCCATCACATTGTTTTACCCTGCTTTGCAGGGTAGGTTTTGCTTCTCGCTTTGCTTGCATCCGAAGTGTTCCTCCAAGGATTTCAGGTGGGTTTATTGAGGTTGATCAGTGCAACTGCGTGGTGAAGCCGTTGTAGCCCCAAGGGATGTGCAAGATGCGTTTGCATAGAAGAGGGATTTCATGAGATTCAAACAGCCGTTTGATTGTATGCAGCAATGCAGGCTTACTTTCGGACCAACCTCTTAAAAACATGGCTGGTGACAAAAGAGTGTTTTTTTTTACGTTTGTTCAATGTACTGCGCATCCCATCAATTTTGATATTTCATTATCGCAGGTTATTGCGCTGAATTTCATGTCGGCGCCATGGTCGCTGAGAAAGATCGATTGATATTCAAATCCTTGGCTATATCCTTGACTCCTTTTGCAGCTTCCCAGGCAACTTTCAAGATCTTAGCTGAGAATCGAATGAATCGAATCTCCTGTGATCCAGCTGAGATCTTGGACGCTTACGATCCGGGAGATTCTCTTCCCTTGGCTTTGCTGCGAGAAGCTGTGCAGGGCATTTCGCATTTCGGTCGCCGGGCCCAGGCACGACTAGTTCTGCTTGGCGCTGCTTTGCTGGATGAATTGCCCCACGGGGGTGGTTTGCGACGAGCGACGGATCTTGCGCACACGGCATTGCAGAAGTTGGGCATAGCCAAAACTCAGGGTTTACCAGAGACAGCGTTTTCAGGTGAGGTCATCCCCGCAAGACAACCCGAAGACAAGAAGGCACCAAACACTAAGTTCAATGACCTCTTACTGGGCGACATTTCCGATGATGTGAGTTGGTTCTTCAGCACCGATGTGGGCGAACAGCTTGATGTCACTTATCCCTTATCCACCGAGGCTGACCTTAATGCTATTGATGTCTCAACTGCGCTCCATCGCCCGGGTGGGTCGCTTGGGGATGGGGAATCTATTTGCAGTGTGTCTGACGAGCTGTGCCGACGTTGCGCTGCAGCAACTGCCTTGGACAAAAGCGGCAGCGGGGCAGGGCAGCAGTGCTTTGTATATGGTCGCATTAGGCCAGTGCAGCCACGCATGACATTGAGGGATGGCATTGTGTGCCACGTTCCACACGGCTACATTGCAGCCAGAGGCAGTGCTTTAGCAAAGCTTGTTGATATGGACGGCGCAACCAAATCAAAGGCCTTCAAAACTATATTTCTTGATGCAGACCTCACTTCGTCAGCTTATGCGTCCTGTGCCCCAGCACAACGTAGGCTCAAAGAACAGCTCGTACAATCTACTGTCACAGGTGAAGCTCAACCAGTGAATTTCGGAGTGCTCTTTGCTTCCGAAGAGCATGACAAGCTCTTGGTGGAAAACCTTCACAGTCTGAAGAGTCGTGGCTTCGAGGCTGTCATGCTTTCGGGAGACTTTTCAGAAGCTGTTGCTTCAGCTAGCTGTGACATCGGCCTGCTGGTGGCTGGGGGGATTCCGGCACGCTTGATCCATGCTTTAGCAGCAGACTGTGGTGCAGAAGTTCTACATGGATTGCCTGACTGCGGAACATTCTCCCAGTCCTTGGACATCTTGGATGTCAAGAGAGGAGTGAATCTGAAGCTTAGAGACCTGCCAGAAGGTGAGCGCCAGAGATGTTTTTGCTATCCCCTGTTGGGTCGGCGGCTCTCTCTTTTACCAGAAGTGAGCATGACAGAAATGAATGGTTTTTGGGAAGTTTGGGCGTGGGCTGAAAGAGCTGAAGCAGGAAGCACGGATATGTCGTGCACAGTACTGTTGGAAGCAAGCTGTGAGCCCCAAATGCGACAAAGCTTCGCGGAGTTGAGTGATTCAGTTTTGGCAGGCTTGGACAATGTGAAGCATGCGGGCCATCCTCACCGTGGAGAGCTTCCATATCTTCCATGCGATTGGATGCTGCAAGTAGCAGATGCTCTTGAGGAAGTGGCTACTTCAGAAGCCTATCCCACGCTCCTTGCAGCTGAAGAGCGGGACCCACTAGTTGCACCATGGGTGAGTCCCGTAGGAGATGCCACAGGGGACAAAGCCGCTTGTGCGGCCTTCGCAGCAAGTCTTCGAAGGGTGGCTACGGAGGAGGGCTTGGAGGAATTGGCCACAGAAGATTTCAAAGCGGCCACAGCTATTCTGCAGCGTGCCAGCCGCCTTGTGCAGCTGTTGAGTCGAGTGTCCGACAGCTGATAGATTCTGATCTCGATAAACAGTTCACTAGTATAGGCCAATCACAGTCCGGGAACGTGCAGGATTTTTCTTCCCCACGCAGTTGGAACATGTCGGAACGTGGGAGGAACAATGCAAGGATCGCCTGCCACTGCCAGTAATTGCAATGATTACTGTTATTGTATTTGTATGTATTTGTCATTGTGTGTGGGCCTGTCCTGGCCTACTCAAGGCCCACACAAGTCCACTCTGATTTCTGGCTTTTGCACGCTTTTGCCCCTTTCGCATGACAAGAAGAAACAGTACTGCTGCCATCTCCTGCCAGTACAAGAAGCTCACACAGATTCACACAGCACATGAACAATCATCCTGGAGGAAAGAATAACATAGAATAACCACTGACATCCTGAAAGTGGACATTTTGCATTTGGCAGCAGGCCTCTCAGGCCGTTACCGTCTCAATCCCTCCCGTCTCCAGCGAGTTGCAAAAAAGCGCCTGTCAAGGCAGTCTGGACACCATAACCATAACAAAATATCATGAATCATTTGAACAAATGATAATGAAGATAATGAACACAATATGATACCCATATCATCCCATATCTAAGATTATCTAAGAGTATAGCATGATTTCAAGTTCACCTTGCTTCCTGTGAGCCCCGTTTTGGCCAGATTTGCTTGCAATCTTCTGCCCTGGGGTGAAATAGCAAAATCCGAAAATTATGGAATCAAACATGTTGAGATGGCAGTGGAGAGCGAGAGAGAGGGAGAGAGAACATGTGCAATCGTTGGCAGACACAGTGGTGGCAGATCGGAGCACTTCACCAGACAATCCTGCTGAAACTTGCTCTTGTTTTTTTGGGAGCCCCTCCTTTGTGTTTGCTTGTTGGCAGAGTTAGCTTTCATCCCAGGATGGTGAGGCAACACTGCGCGAGCTGGGCATTTCTGGCAATGGTGCTGTCCTTGTGCTAACGACCGGGCCTCAACTTGGCTCGTGGGCAATGTTTTCTCATCAGGGTCCCAAAAGGACAGGCTTAGTCGGCTTAGTCATGCAAGTGTGTTGGAGTTACAGTATTGAAGATGGGAGTGAAACCGGACCAAACTGGCGGACTGGCGGAAAATTTCTTTGGTCGTCTCATTGGTTGTGGCATTATCCAGCCATTCAAATGCATACATACTCCCAAAATCTCCCAAACATTCGATTATGATTAACATTGATTATATAACTAATATATACATATATATATACTATAATATCAATGTGATCATCCAGCTGCATCGTTGTACAAACATGGCGCACTGAGGTCAGCCAACTCGCAGCAGAAACAAATTTCGCAGCGTAGCTCAGGAGACCTAGCGGAACAACATGGGAAGATATGGGAAGATATGGGAAGCATGCGTAGTAATCCCTGGGCCCTGGGCTGTTGTTTCCCCAAATCCGTGTGGTGGATGAGGATGAAGCAAACGAATGCAAACGAGACATGAACATTAGAAGCAGAGCCGAGCTTTTGTGTGCCGCTGCTCTTTGGCCAGGCTGGTGGGAGTGGCTTCAACATTTTCAGGCAGGTGACAGCTTGGGCTTTTGGAAAGCTGTGATCATCAGCTCAATGTCAGTCCTGTGATCGAATCTTCCATGGGTGCTGAGGCTGACCAAGTGGGCATCAGATGCTGGGTTGTGGGACTGCTGCTTGTTGTCGTGGCAAGTTGGCGCCCATAACACTGCAAAGTCGGCGGCTTTGCCGTGATTGGTTTGTAGGTCCTTGACGCTGCCACTGGGCGCTGGGGATCAAAATGATCAAAATGAGCGAGCTGCCAGCTGCCTAAAGTCCAGTAATAGCTCGGTTGGCATCCCTTTGGCTTTGCACAAAGCCACGCTCAGCCAAGAGCTGACTATGAATGTAAAAGGTTTAACGTGTCAGGGACATGTAAGGGCTCCCCTTTGTCTCAGGCGACGAAAAAGCAGAGGAGCGGGGAACACGCTTGTTTTGATTGCCAGCCAATTGCGCACCTTGTTTGTAATTCAATGTAATTCACCTGGACCGGACAACTTCTTCGTAGACTGCTACAGAAATTGGCGTCATTTAATTAAGCCGACCCAACATTGGCTCAGGGACTCGCAATTCCCTGTCTCCCCTCCTGATTTTTCCACCCCCTTTCGCCTTCAGCACCAGGGTAGCTCGAGGGTTGCAAAGCTTCGTATGGAAGATCATAACGGTTGGCTAAGATGCTAGGCCTCCCTTTTTGGGATTGCCATTTGCATCTGATTGGATTCTTCATATCTTTCTTTGAGAGGCTCAACGCTCTATCCCATGAATGAGACACCGCCAGGATCTATATATATATATAATTATATATATACATATTATGTTAATGTTGCCATGTTTGAATGCTCAATCCCACCTCACACTCCAACGTGGCCACAGCTTCACACATGCCATGCAAAATCTTTCCAAATGAATTCCAGGGGAGGAGAACTGAAAAAGGCTTGGTACATCTTGGTACATCTTGGTACCCCATTTGAAGCATTTTGAAGCCATCATACTGAACTAGACATGAATGTAGCACATCTCTTTTCTGATTGATCTGATTGCTTATCCTTCTATTTGATTGTCACAGTGGGTGAAGGAGGAGGACGAGAAGGATGCCAAGGATTCGGATGATGAAAAGGAGGCTCTCAATGACTCAATGACTCTCCACATCTCTCAACTCTTCATAAGATCCATAAGTGTTCCAAGATTTGTTTTGCCAGTGAGCCCCAACCACCTGGTGGCAACTTTTGCGTTCAATGAACCTTGATCAGGCAGAGAAGAAGGACAGTACCATGACTGCATTTGAGATAATTCAACATATTCAAGCCATGTTGATTGAATATTTATCATTATTTACCCACCCTGTACTGTATAAATACATGCGAGCACGCGTACTATACGATACATGATGATACATGCTATATAATTATATAGGTTATAGGTTTGTGCTTTCGTCAGCGCATCTGAGAATTATTCGGGAGACACCGGGGCATTGTAATGAGCTGCCTGAATCTGACTTTACGCACTTGGCTTTGTAGGCAGCTTTATTTTTCTGCTTAGGTGATGAGGAAGAAGATGCCAAGGCCAAAGCCAAAGCCAAAGAGGCCAGCTATGTGTCAACATTGTGTATTACTTTGTGACATCCTGTGCACACTGCAGAGACACCAGACACTTGAGCACACGTTGATAAATCTTTCCAAATCGGGGCCAAAGTCATTCCTGCTAGAGCGTGTTTGTTTTCCCATGTTCTGGTAATTTCAAAATTCTCTGGTTCCATAGGCTCAGAGCCTCACCCCTTTCAAGAGACATCTTCCGGACCAAGCCGGTTTTGGGCTTTTGGTAACAGCGTGTCACACCCATCTTCCTCAGCTGCCAGGCAAAGGACAGCTCCAGCTCTGAGGTCTGCGATGTTCGCCGATGTCACAACATGCAGTTGGCAGATGTGTGCACCCTGGAGCTCCCCTGAACTGCACAGGATGAACCCAAGAAGGAAAAGGAGAAGTCAAAAGCCAAAGTCAAGGACAGTCGGAAATGTCAGGGTTGCAGAGAGAAATGCCAGTAAATTACTCAGTAAATTAGTAAATGAGATGATGATGCCTTGGTGTAAAATGGTTTATCCTTTGGCGAGCAGGAAAAAAAACTGACTGGAGAACAGCCCATTGCTCTCAGCAATCTTCCAGCCCACACAAGGACAGTGATAGTGATGACGGTGATGACGGTGATGACGAAAAGGCTAAGACTTCTAAGACCAAGGCGAAGGGAAAGAACAAGAAGGTGGGGAGCCGCGGGCAGATGTCCGCGAACCAACTTGCTCTTTGCGAGAGTCTTTGGTGTTGCAGTGGACCTCAGAGGGTTGTGGCGGGGTGGACGGCTATAATTCTTTTGAATGTCTGTCCCTTTTGCTGGTGGCTCATGCCGGACTCCAACTGTTGAGGATGCCGACCCTCCAAAATCCTCCAAGCCAGCACCCCAAGATAATCAAGATAGCCCAAGCTAGTGGCGCTAGTGGTTCAAAATGTTCAAAGTTGCACTTGCTAGCAACCGTAGCTTGTCACCAGCCTTCAAGAAAAGCAGCGCTGATAATCATACAACTGGAATCAATTAGACATACCCGGAACATTGTGCATAAATAATGTTGAAGCCATAGTGGATTAACACCATCAAAAAAATATTTTACCACATTTTACCACCCTTTTGCTCCTCAAGGCTTAAATTTCCTTGCTTCCCTGCCTGTCAGGCCAGCTCGAACAGTGACGAGGTTGGGTGCCCTGGGTTCAGATGTTGTGGCATCCTGGCACCTTTGGCTTATATAATTCATATCGTCGATCATATCGTATTAATGGTTAAACGCATCCGTATACACTCACATTGTATATAATATATATATATATTAACTAAGTCCAAAAGCTATGTGGAGCTTGTTTCTGGAGAGCTGGTACGGAGCAGACGCAAACATATCACATATATATACATAAAAAAAACACATAAAAAAACATATAATGAACATATAGTGAACATATAATAAACATATAGTGAACATTTAATAAACATTTAATAAACATATAGTGAACATTTGATAAACATATAATAAACATAAAATAAACACATAATGAACATATATTAAACACAAAATGAACACATAATAAACATGTTAATCACATAATAAACATATGATAAACATATAATAAACATATAATAAACATATAATAAACATATAATAAACATATGACAAACATATAATAAACATATAATAAACATATAATAAACATATGTTGATGCACATATATATATATATCATATACTTGCAGAAGTCTTTTCACTACAGAAAAAAACACAAACCTGTCATATATAGTTGCGCAAAGAAACGCGAAGAAACATATGTGCTGCATATGTGCGGCATATTTGGATATAAATGGTTACATATATGATTTCACATGTGGTTGCACATGCCTGTTTGTGACTGTTGATGCTGGAAATTGGTGGTGAAGAAACTTAGGCACACTTAGGCACGCATGGCTGAATCCACTTAATTACACCTCAAGGAACCACTCTGAATCCCAGTGTTCACATTCCTGGTTGTCTGTTGCGTTGACTCGCTCTGCCTTCTGGTTTGCGTTTCAGCTTGCAATCTCATAAATTTGAAACTGGAGCCGACTGAACAGGAGAATTTTTTACAATCAAATAAAATGTGCGTGACAGTACTTGACACGAATTCAGGACATGGTGCGTATGTGCGCATACATATATGTTGCTTCAGAAATGCACATCTGTAATAAGTCTTTTTTTTCTAAGCAATAAGTTCTTACTACATTTGTGTACTATATGTTTTGTTTGTGCTGTATATAACCAATGTAATAAGATCTTATTTCTGAAACATAAGATCTTATTACATAGGTGATACATATATTGCGTTTGTGATTTTTAAGATCAACAAGATCTTATTTCAAGAAAAAAATATCTTATTACATTTGTGTTTTTGTTGATGCATGTACATTTATAGGCGTTTGTTTTCATTGTCCTGCACAACATGTTGCGTTTCTTTGCATGCTTGGAAACCTATGTGAAACATGGAATATGCATATGATTTGTCACATGTTTTCAAAACGGGGTTTTATGTAACTCTCTGTGCAAATATACATATATATATATTTACATATTGTAGTACATATGTGCACATATAGGTTCGCACATATGCAAAAATATGTGTTTGTTTGTGTTTTTTTTTAAAGGAAATAAGATCTTATTTGTTTAAAATAAAATCTTATTGCAAAAAATGCTAATAACTTAGCTAAATTCAAAACCTCTTTGGCGATGGTTTCTGTAGGCTGTGGACGGGAAGAGCGCATACGTATCACATACATATATGGTAAATTTTCTTAGATCGGACATATGTACTTACGTAAACCATGTCATAATCGACTTATGTTGTATCACATAATGTTCATATTTCATACACAAAACATAAATCCAGCGCATATATGTACACATGTGAAACATATGTATGAACATTCACAGGTTTCCAACATTTTGTCCATAAATGTTCGAGTCATGGGTCTGAAACAGTTGGTTTTGTATGATGAACTTGTTTCAAACAGTTTGGGCATAGACCTTGATCTCAAGTTTTGCTGCTGATTTTCATTAAAGAGCGGCAGTGGCGTGTAAGCGCTATATATCGCTTCAGACAGAAATGGGAAAAAATGTGCTGAATTGGAACCGAATGCATAGAACAATAAACACATATTACTGATGCCGTTGGGGATTTCGGCAAAATAAGAGTTGGGGGCAGCGGCAGCATGGGAAAGACTTAAAATAAAAAAGATGCATTTTAAAAACTCAAACTCAAAAAAAAGGGTTTGAACATCATTTTACGCCAAATCATTTTCAGAAAGATCAAAGCACCAAATGGTGTGGCTGACAGGGACCTTTTTTGTCCCTTTTTCTAGCCAGTGGATGGCACTATCTGGAGCAATTTGGGACAATTTGCAGACCATTTGTGGCAATGATTAAGTATGAGTTGGTGTTTTTTTTTCAAGCTTCGATTTTAGTAATAGTATTCACAAAAACATATTTTTTCTTACCTGAAGGCATTCTTCATCACTTCTCCCTTCAAATCTAAAACAAACAAGAAACTAATGGAAGTCTCCGAAATCAACAATTTTACTTATAGTTAAAATTACGATAATTTGATTAATTTAGGGCAAACAATTACTAATGCATTTCATGACGCTCTAATTTTAGCTAAATTTACTTGCACCTACCTAAATTGATTTCCTTAATGTTTCGTGCTTCTGTTAGAATGATAACATATGTGTTTTCGTTGTTTCTTTCGCAAATGGGTATGGTGGGGAATTTGTATCAGTGTTGATGTGGCTTGCATTGTTTTGCTGGTTTTTGTTGCATGTGCATCTGTGTATCGATTGCTGATGAGCCTAAGGTTTGTCCAGTGGGTTTACTTGTGAGAACAACATGTGAGAAAGGATTAGGGGTTTGTTTCCCTCTTTTGAAACACTACACTACATCTTAAGTTATCAACAATTTGAACCTGTGTTACCACCTTCCTTCTTGTGACTCACCGCGCTACCTGTGAGTTGCTTCTGATCATGCATATGCTTTTGTTGATGCATGTTACATATGCATAAACCATTGTGGGAAAAGAGGGGAACAAACTTAAAACATTTTTTTTTAATATGGAAGGATGTTTCTGACCATTTATCCTTGTTTTTGATTGCTGTTGTTTTTGAGTTGGTGCCATGTTGGCCACATAGGGGCAAGGGCCCATTTTTGACCAATCAGCTTGTGAAATCCCAAGAGGTTGTTTATTCAGCTGGCATGGATGTAATCTTTGAATTCTGCTGTTGATGACATGTTTACTTTAGGAAATTACTTGCGTATCTTACTTGAGTTGGTTACTTGAGAAAAATGTAAGCTTTAACACATGTTTCCCTTCACTGGGATGTATTTGAACTACTTTCTTTTAAGTGATACTTTGAATCACTCCTTACCTGATATGATGTATCTCTGATGATTGCAAGTTGCCTTGTGTGTTGCCACTTTGCTACACAGTTGGAAATGGTGTTTTAACTTGTTTTTGGCTAATAGGCTAAGCATGAATATGCCATGGATATCTGTTGTATATACTATGAATGTCTGCTGTCTGCTGATTTTGTCCTAAATTTAATTTAGGTATGTCTCAGGGTGAGGTGACCTTTTTGGACCCCAAAATATCACTTTAAAGAGCAAAAATGGACACCTCATTTTGAGATATCCCCGTATCTATATTTTATAAACTTCACAAGAAACCTCGACGCGAGTCAAGGCTCCATGATTTTCCGGTGATTTTCTTATGTTTTTCTTTTGCAATTCTGATGAATTTCTTTTGAATTTGGGATGAACAATAAAGGAAAACACCCTTATGCAGTTCTTATGCTGTTTTGAAGATTTCATGCCTTTTTGCTAACAGGTGTTTTTTGTTTATGTAAGAAATCCAAAGGCAAACACATGTTGGAGATATCTTGGGAAGATTTCAAAAACGTTACTAAGTTGAATTCCCTTTTGAACATACCCGCAAGAATCCAACATAATCTACACTAGCAATTCAGAGTTCAATTTGTTCTCATTCTTTTCAAACTGCACCAGAAATGATCGCAATCAAAAACTATCCTATTCTCATGCAAATGCATACAAAAGAAAAACAATGCCACAAGTAATCATTTGGCCTTAGCACTTGTTCACAAATTAGAGTATATGGGTTACAGAAGTGACAAATTCAATAAATAACATTCTGAATGCACTAGTATTAATTTACTTGTGGTACATATATGCACATAGTAGTACAAGTGATGATGTCTTAACATAGGGGTGCCCCTAAGCCTCAAATCCCAATTGAAAATGTACACTTTGGGGCACCTCTATTTTGTACAAGTATAGATTTGCATATTTACATGATTCTCTTGTTGGTATGGAGAAGATATGAACAAAAACTACGCACATGGCATTCGCAAGTAAAATGTTGCAACCAAGACATTTCACAGATAATACAGCTTGCCACAAGAATTAAACAGTAGTCAACTCTTTCCAAATACCCAAACAAGTGTTTTCAGCCGGTTCATTTCCTGAGGTTACAAGTTGCCAGTCTTATTTATTATCTGAGGTTCTGTGATGAAATGGCATTATTTGAGAGGTTCATGTGACGAAACAAATATGGTTTTCACGTTTAAACCACTGTGATAATCATTCATGGGTGATGTTACTTGAGACATGTGCTGATGTTGCAGCATATCTCATTTCAACCAAGTTCATACCTTGATTTTACATAAGGACCAAGAAGAGTGGCACCTCAACTCCCAGGGTGCTGTTGATGCACACAATATTTTAGATGAGGTTATCCCAGAAGTAATTTTGAATTACTGTACATTCAAGTAACTTTGCATTACACTCAAGTCACTATGAGTTACACTCAGGTAACCATGCATTGCACACAGGTAAAAATAAATTACACACACACAAGTTGCAGTAAATTAGATATACAAAACACAAGTGAAACATTAAAATGAAACACATACGAAACACATACATATGTAGACATTAGCGCAAAATCGAATCATCTATGTCTTTCCAAAAATGGGGGAAATATCATGCAAGAGATGAACTGAAGTCATGCATCTTGTGAATCAGAAGTCAGAAGCCATGATTGACAGACGGTTGGCTTATGTTTGGTTTGTCGTTAGTTTGTGTTTGGCTTTTGATTAACTTATGTTT